CCAGTCTGGGATACTCTTGCTGCATCTGACTTCATGGCTGCATCTACTTCATGGCCGGTAGTTGTTAGCCGCTGAAGTCTGGCCTTGGGAAGGTTGTTAACCGATGGAGAACAAACTTCTCCAGGTCCACATCTTATGTGCACTTTTCAACCTGTATTTGTGTTTCCAGATTGTATTTGCAGCAGGTATCTAAAGTGTCAAGTCTAGATTAATGTAGACGTTGGCAGATAGGGCCTCTTCTTAGCATATGCACAGAAGCTGGGTTTTGTATATTAAATCTGATGACATTTATTTCATCCTTAAATGTCATACCATGGTTTCCATTCATGCTTTTTCAAGCACTTCATTGTTGGTCAACTCAGGGGCCGAATAAGTAAGCAATGGGGCTTGAGCATATAGGAAAAAATGACTCTTAGTGTCAAGGAGTTAAAGTATTAAAGTGCATAAACCATTTCCTGTAACAGTTGTCAGGCTAATTTTCAGTAAATGACTTAGTCCATGTGTTTATTATTCAGATGTAAACCCACTCACTCGGCATGAAAATGACATTACACCACTGTAATCACAGACTAATCTTTTACAACTACTGTCACTATATACCCAAACTGCATCCCTCTAACGAGACTTCACTGAGTTCAGAAAAAAACAGCTTTTGAGCTAGTTAGTTCACAGTAGGTTCTAGGAACTGCATTGCACCATCCAGTGACGAAGGTAACATCAACAGGCACTGTTGCTGCACATTTATATAATAACTGCACAAAAAATAAAATATTCCTTAGTAAATAATGACTTTGTGGGAAAGAATGTCCTTAAAATATAGAATGAAATTCAGTAAAAAAAGAGAATCACAATCATCTTCACTGTTAACCTTTTCCTTGCCAAAGGATAACAAAGTTCTGGAGTTCTTGGGGCCAAACTTTCCTACTCTCCATCAAGTGGATGACAGTCAATACATTTCTTAATGTATTTGGCATAAAGGACATAGTAATGCTCATGGATAAACATTTTTTTGTATCTAATTGATTCTAGCTTATGTTTAGATTTTAACTGGTTTTAGAAGATGAAGATGTTAAAAAGTGGAAACAATTTAGTCACCTTTAAAGGTCAAAAACTGCTAGGAAATTTTAAATCAAGTTGACTTTCCATCAGCCCCTCATTCCATGTTGTGATTAAGTTGTAGATTATTTCATTGCATCATAGCATTACACACTGAAGGAGCCCGACCTGAGCATAAGCTGTGATACCAGTTCACCGTCCCTGGTTTCTACAAGGTAGAAAGTACCTCCTTGGCTAATGTGATAACACAGCTGCCCTACACTGTCATTTCTGTTTTTGCTGAAGAAAACAAAGTGAGTAATGGGGACAATATAAGCCTTCAGTTTGCTTGGTTTTTTTTGATTTTTATCATTAAAAAACCAAAGCGTTAATATTATTCAGGCAAAAAGTACATCATACAGGTTCTACTTTTTATTACTTCATAGCAAACAAGTTTAACTGATGTTATAACTTAAAAAGAAGTAGCAAATCAACTCATAGGACCCCAATTGACTGTTTACTGTCAGCAGAAAGATTCTCAGAGACTTCAATTAGTATTGGAATGTAGTCTTCATATTTACATTTAAAACTATTCTCCTCTGTGTCCTTACATAAATTATTAGGCTATTCAAATTCAATAAAAGATAAGCGTAAGATGAAATAGTCTCCATTAAATATCTGACAAAAAGTGGTCAAAAGAAAGGCTGTTTTGAGAGCTGTCACTCGCACACTTCTCTCTAGCTGTCCATCAGGGAGATAGTGTCTCTCAACATCTGGTGGTGTTGTGTTTGACCCCTTGTTGTGCCAACAAGAATCAGAAATCTGCCCCTTTGGTTTTCAAAGGATCTTCTAAGGCAGAAAGACACTAAAGAAATGATATTTTAGTGTACAGCACTGCTGCAAAAAGGAGCTAAGCACTGATTTGTGTTGCCGATGTCTAAACATTTATAAATATCTGTTGCTCCTGCTCTATCTTCCTGAATTTTTTAAGTCACAAGAAGCAGTTAGTAAAAAGCAGTAACTAATGAGGAAATGTGTTTATCTGGATAAAACACTGTGTCCCAGTAATATTTCACCCCCTTTTTTTAAATGCGTTGCCTTTACTTAAAAAATTAATCACATAGCCGCTGTTTTTCAGTAATTCAGACTAGTAATAAAAGTATATTTAATTATTGTATAATCAGTGGTACCAAATATGGGTTCCACCCTGTTGCTTTTTCAGAAGCACCAGACTCTTTTTTTCCTGATGCTAAAATGCCTATGGTGGACTAGGATAAAGCTTTGTAGCTCATCTGAAAGAGGAAAAGTTAGACAAATGCATGAGTAGTGGCCCAAATATCTTGATCCATGGTGTCTTTGTGAAATATAGGAAACAAATATTAACCCAAAATCATATTCAAAACCAGATAACAGATCCCTATTTTAAGGCACTCTTCCTTCAGACATCTTTTATGCTTAAAAAAATGCTTGAATATATTGCCTAAAACCACAAAAAGTGCTATAAATTAGGTAATATTTAACATTTTATACATCAGTATGGGTATATGATTCAGAATATCAGTGTTGCACAATACACCATATTACCAAAAAAAACTCAAACAAACAGGTTAACAAATATTAGAAACTGAAACAATTTATATTATGGTTGCAATAAAGACTCAGTGCAAAAAATGTCTTTATAATATTTAATTCCATACAAGATAAATTCCTTATGACCTCTTTGCAGCTACACTTCTTATTTTTAAAAGGAAAAAATATGCAATATAGAACAACAATACTTTCCATTTTTTTTAAGTTTAATGAGACTCAGGCAACTAGATCATGGAGTATGTTTCATACAGACTAATAAGAATAGTTATTGACTAATAAAGTTTTCACTCGTGTGAAGTTCAAAACCGCATGCCCTAACTCTCCACTTTGCAACTCTGAGGTACAAAATACCCTACAGAGGGACATGGGAAAAGCTTTCCAAACTTTCACCACAAGACTGAGAGCTCAGAGAGAGCTCAGACATATGACGTTCTGAAAAAATGCTAAAAATATATTTATCAACTCAAACTGCTGCAGACTATCAAGCTGCTCCGGAAGGTGATTTCTTAAAAAAAATTGAAAATAAGAATTTGTAGATTCATCGCCATCAAGGGCTCATGGGTGTCATTACTTCATTTTATGAGCACGAGCAAACCATGTGACTTAGAGGGGCACAGTGTTTGTCAAGCAGTTCAGCATGTGTCCTGCAGCATCATGCACACCATCCGTCTCTGCTCTACTCACCTGATCATCCGAGGAACAAAGCTATGAATCTTTCTTCTCTGACCTTTTTCACAAAATAGTTTTAGATATGCACAGGGAGAAATAAAGGAGCTATCTTCCTACTTTTGTATACACAGAGACTGCTACGCTTCCTGATTTTATCTGAGCTACAAGAGATGAAGCAGGCTTCTTTTACTGTCCCTCACATACAAAGGACAGGAAGATGAAGTCCATAATGAATGCTACCTTGTTCAATTCAGGACAATTTCTGCCTTCATTTACATTCTCTAAAACGTCACTAATACTCATGCAAATGCACAAAATTAATGTGAGAGCCTAATGCAATAGTATTTACAACAAATTAATGCTGGCTCCAATCCAGGAACTTAAAAAGCACTTCAATAACTATTTTGAAATTAAAATTTTAGGGTTCTCTGACTGAAGCAATTTTTTTTTTTTAACTTGTCAGCTTTCAAATTATTGGATCTGAAACCACATTAGGTTTTTCCTCACTCATAGTAAGCAGTCAAAAAAGACACTTTGTTCTAAATATTGCATTTTTCACACGTGGAACAGAGGAAAGAAACTGATCTTTGATCTGAAATTTAATTAAACACTTCTCTCATTGACATGTGAGCTCCTTCTTTCCTATTAGTTGTATTCACTGGCTAAAAAATTGTTGTTTGTTCCACTCATATTATCAACTCTGATGGCACAGCTAACAAGGGTCAAAATAGATAAAAAAATGCAGTTTTGGTCACCGAAGCCAGTACATATGAATCCAAATCTAAACTGGCATTGGATTTGTTGAGGAAGGAAATACTTTATCACTTTGCAAAGTAAAAGTGCGTTCTGAGCTTTGAATTGACATAAAAGAGCCAATTTTGGTGGAAATGCAGAGCTCTCTAAAAGTTCTAAATATTTATGGTGAAAAATTCTGCCCCAGCTCTTTTCACCTGAACCCATGAGATATTCTGTGCTCACTTCCAGAGATTTAAATGATGACAGCAATGGACACTTGCTCTGAATAGTAATGGTTGAGGAAGAGGATTCCAGTCTACCAGGCTTGTTTGTGCAGGAATGATTGTGGTGACTCCCCACACCTTCGGTCTAGATTTTGGAAGAAAAAAGGGAAGTCGTGAAAGGGACAAGCAGAATATTGTTTTACAAGTTTATGGTAGTTTTGAGAATTTCATCCTTATCACTTAGGCAATATTAGTAAAGTCTGCTGTGGGAATACCCTAACTCCTACCTCCCTCCTTTTGGGACAGAAGGTTTTACTTTCTTCCATTCAAATGTAAGACCTTTCATTTAGACAATGCTCTAAAGAAGATCACACCTCAGCGGTGAAATGTTGGATAAGTGATTCACACGGCTCAAAAATTTGAGGAACAAGTCATTTCAATTATATTTAGTGGGGAACCTGGAATCCTATACAAATGTGGAATTAGTAAGGTCTTCAGAAGCAATCTCTAACTAAACATTATCATCATGTATAGATAAATTTGAAAAAAAGATTCTAAAGCTCTAGGCTCCTATTACCTACAGTGAGCTCCCAGTTACTCCCATGAAACAATTCCTGTCCATGAAACTATCACACCAGAAAACTGAAGTTATAGAAATAGAATCAGAACCTAGAGGTACAGTCCTCAAACCCATAATCTGTCCAAAGGATTAACAATTAATTTATCAGCAACCTTAAAGAAACTTACCTTTAAAATTTGGTCTGATTCTAGCATCATAGCCCGATGTTCTTCCCATCAATTTGTCCAAAAAATCTGAAGGAGACAGGGTCTGTGAGGGGGATTTTCCAGATCTTGAATCATGTTCTTTACAGAAAGTCGTCCTAAATAAATTATTAGCCACCATTAGCTACTATTTAGCTTGTATTGCCTTCAAGTCATGGGGAAATTATAACACTTTAAGTAAAATTGTCTCTTTTCAGTGAATGTAATAATAAATATTTCTATAGAAAAATATTATCTATTTTTATCAGAAAAATTTATTTCAGAAATAAAAATAAGCTTCAAGTAGTAGGCATAGACCACAATGTTTGCGATTCAGAAAAACTCAGCTGTAAAAGAAATTCATTAGCACTATAGCACATTAGAAGATTCAAATTACTTTTTATCTGAAAGCGTAAAGAAATCTTACAGGGATTTTGATAGCCTGTGTCATATTGTTGCTTAATTTACATGTAGGCTCTTGAAACTATATTCATTAGAAGCCTGATTTAAAGTGGCCTTAAACTTTCAGACAATGGCTGGCAAAACTCACCAAGCAGCTGTGAAAAACACTGATTTTTGTTAATGTTGGGAAGGATGTGGATGGAAAAATAGTATTCTTTACAAATGCCACCCAATAAAGATTTAAATTATGCAAGTGAGAGTCTGGATTCTTCACCAACAGTGCAAAAAGGGTTCCAGAATCAGCCACATCTGATCTTAGGTTTTTAGCAGTGAACGTCAAGTAATAAAAAAAATCTTTATTATCACTAGCTGGTATTTGTACGCAAGTTCTTACAACATATCTCTATTTTCAAGTTTTGAGAGCAAACTTCTGGTACCATATAATGCATGTAAAGGTTTGTGCATTAGATATTATAGAGAAAGACTGTAGGAGTTTGCCTAGGTTGTTCCCTAAGGAAAAGCAACTAGAATGAAATGAACATATTTGGTTTGTAGAGACATGGATTTCATCATAAACTGCATTATCTTGATTTCTGAATAACCAATTTTATTGTTTCTGTCTTTGAGCTGTATTAAAAGTAATTCGATCACTGTGTCTTCTAACCACTACTCTGTTTAAATATTTGCCCAATAGTAACCACTCAGTTCCAGGAGTGTTTCTTGTTCTTTTATTTTAATATTACTCTGTGTGTGCATGGGCATGTGTCTGCAATCTGTGTGTAAGTATAAACAAATTAGATATACAGGTGATTGATTATCTGAAATTCAAAGCAAATGGTAGATCCTTTATCCCTTTATAAAAGCATCAAAACTATTAAAATGCAATGTAATACTAAAATGTTGTGATGTGATTCCCCAGTTTTCAGGGTCCGTTTACAGGGAGTGGTTGCTTCTTTTTGTTTTTGTCAATAACATGGTACCATTCCAAAATCTTTAATGTTTTAATACGTAATAGAAGATATTCTGCACTTAAATAGCAAAAATGCTCAGTTAAAATAATAAAAACTGGAAAACAATATATTCTGCTTATTTGGGATGAGCCAGTACAAATTATTTCTGTTTTCATTTGTAATCTACTAGTTATGAGTTGTGCTGTGATCACAAACTTGTGAATATAAACACTATTTCATTCTGTCACTGTATACACCATTAGACATACAAATACACTTTATACATGTACATATAGATACACAGCACTGTACAATTAGTAATGAAACTCACCTGAAACAATGTTTTTGTTAATTAAACCAAACTGTTTGCTTTGTATCACAAAAAGTCAATAACTGAAGCAACATCTCCTCAAATTAAAAAAAAAAAAAAAGAAATAACAATCACATGTAGTGATACTTTAAGTGAGCATAAATCCTAGTCTGATCCAGAGGCTTCCCAAAATCAGAGGACTGCTTCTCTAATTTGAAACAAACAATTACATTCCTCACAAAACTGATTCAATCATTCCCAAAGCGTGAAGAGTAGGGAATCAAAGCAACTTACTAAATAACCTTCAGTGGGAGCAAAGAGATTACATTTAGTTTTAGAACGAAAATTGAAGAAAACGTTTTTAGCTATATTAATACTCAGTGAAAAGGCATGTTTTTGAATCAGAGAAATGGAAAACAGATTACCCAAACTTGAGATTTTTTTTTGTGTTTGTTACCAAGCAACGAGTCTCTCTGAGTGTAAAAGGGATAGCCTATATAAAATGAACGTGAAATACTCTCAAATATAGCAAACAACTAGATCAACATGATGCTGTTCCTTTATAGTTATGGTTCCTGAACCTTTTGATAAATATCATCAGATAGAGTCATATCACCTACCTGAAGTGGTTTGTCTCTAAGAAAAATGCAAACAAGGTTGTCAAAATTTTCACTAGCTGCCGGTTCATTCCTCCTGTTTTCCGTGAAGGTTTGGAAAATATCCCAGAAACGATTCCAGAGAGATGCAAGGAAAAAAGTATGCTGGTGCTGCCTAGATCCCCAAATTCAGCAACAATTTAATTTTCTTGACAATCAGGAAGAGAAGGTCTGGATCTCTACAAACTGGGGGTAAAAAAGAAGTGCCAGTCCTTGGAATCATGGTCAGGTCAAGCCTAGGCTCATCTCCGGCAGCCAGCACAAAAGAGACAAAGCATCAGACCTGGTCGTTCCCCCGCCTTGCTTTTACTGGATGATGGAGGAAAAAAGAAAAAAGAAGAAAAAAGAAAAGAAAGAAAGGAAAAAAGGAAAGAAAAAGGAGAGGAAAGCCTGCTACCCAAAGAGCATCACGCAAAAGGGAATAACGCTGAGTGCAGTCTGTTGTCGGTATGTTTTATTCCCCTTTTGCTTTGAAAATGAGTATTTATGAATGGTGGTGGGGCTACTGGGTTGATCTTTTTTTGTTTTTTTTTTTCCTTTCTTTCTTTTTCTTTTCTTTTTCTTTCTGTCTGTCTTTCGGCAGCGAGGTGTGTAAATACCGCCGGGGAGCGAGCGGGCCGGGCTGCAGGGGAGGCAGCCCCAGCGCCTGCCTGTGCTGGAATGAGGGAGACGT